TCTTGGAGGCTTTGTTCATTTCTTTTTACCTGTTTTTCTCTAAACTTGTCTTCTGGCTTTATTTCATTAATTTGATCTGCAGTCACTCATACCCTTTCTTCCACTTGATCAAATCAGCTATTGAAGCTTGTGCATGTGTCACGAAGTTCTTGTGCCATGGTTTTCAGCTCCATCAGATCACTTAAGTTCTTCCCTACACTGTTTACTCTAGTTAGCCATTTGTCTAATCTTTTCTCAAGGTGTTTAGCTTCTTTGCAATGGGATAGAACACGCTCCTTTATCTCAGAGAAGTTTGTTATTACCTACCTTCTGAAGCCTCCTTCTGTCAACTCATCAAAGTCATTCTCCGTCCAACTTTGTTCCGTTGCTGGTGAGGAGCTGTGATCCTTTGGGGGTGAAAATTTTTTAGAATTTTCAGCTTTTCTGCTCTGGTTTCTCCCCATATTTGTGGTTTTATGTACCTTTGGTCTTTGATGTTGGTGACCTACAGATGGGGTTTTGGTGTAGATATCCTTTTTATTGATGTTGATGCTATTCCTTTCTGTTTATTAGTTTTCCTTCTAACAATGAGGTTCCTCAGCTGCAGGTCTGTTGGAGTTTGCTGGAGGACCACTCCAGACCCTGTTTGCCTGGGTATCACCAGCGGAGGCTGCAGTACAGCAAATATTGCAGAACAGAAAATATTGCTGCCTGATCCTTCCTCTGGAAGCTTCATCCCAGAGGGGCTCCCACCTGTATGAGGTGTCTTTCGGCCCCTACTGGGAGGTGTCTCCTAGTTAGGCTACACAGGGGTCAGGAACCCACTTGAGTAGGCAGTCTGTCCATTGTCAGGGCTCAAATGCTTTGCTAGGAGAACCACAGCTCTCTTTAGAGCTGTCAGACAGGGATGTTTAATTCTGCAGAAGTTTCTGCTGCCTGTTTTTCAGCTATGCCCTGCCCACAGAGGTAGAATCTATAGAGGCAGTAGGCCTTGCTGAGCTGCAGTAGGCTCCGCCCAGTTCAAGCTTCCTGGATGCTTTGTTTACCTACTCAAGTCTCAGCAATGGTGGACTCCCCTCCCCTAGCCAGGCTGCAGCCTCACTGGTCCATCTCAGACTGCTGTGCTAGCAGTGATCAAGGCTCCATGGGCATGGGACCACTGAGCCAGGCACTGGAGAGAATCACCTGATCTTCCAGTTGCTAAGACTGTAGGAAAAGCGCAGTGTTTGGGCGGGAGTTTTCCATTTTTCCAGGTACCGTCTGTCACAGCTTCCCTTGGCTAGGAAAGGGAAATCCCCCAACCCCTTGTGTTCCCGGGTAGGTCAATGCCCCACCCTGCTTCAAGTCACCCTCCATGTGCTGCACCCACAGTCCAACAAGTCCCAGTGAGATGAACCAGGTACCTCAGCTGGAAATGCGGAAATCACCCGTTTTCTGCATCGATCACTCTGGGAGCTGCAGACCGGAGCTGTTCTTATTCGGCCATCTTGGAACAGAGCTCCGGTCTTCTTTAATTTCTTTTAGCAATGTTTGAGAGTTTTCAGTGGACAAATCTTTCACCTCCTTGGTAAAATATATTCCCAATTTTTATTTTTATTCTTTTTAATGTTATTGTAAATGGAATTTAAAAAAATCTTTTCTGTTGTTCATTGCTTGTGTGTAGAAACACCACTGATTTTTGTTTGTTGGCTTGTATCATGAAAATTTGCTGAGTTTTGTTATTAGCTCTCACAGGTTTTTAAAAAATTTTGACAGATTTTCTATATACAGGATTATATCATCTGCAGATGTAAATATTTTTACTTCTTTCTTTCTAATGCCAATGCATTTTTTTAACCTGCCTAATTGTACTGGCTATTACTTCCAGTGCAATGTTGAATAGTAGTGTTGAGAGCAGACATCCTTTTCTTATTTCTGATCTTAAGGGGAAAGGTTTTATTCTTTTACTATTATGTGTAATTTAGCTGTGGGCTTTTCGTAAATGCCTTTTATCATTCTGTGGAATTATTGTTTCTAGTTCTTGCTTTCTGGGTGCTTTTATTATGAAAGTTTATTGGATTTTGTCAAATGCTATTTCTGCATCAACTGAGAAGATTATGTTTTCTTTTTTTATATGTATGTGTATATATGTGGTATATTATATTGATTGGTTTCCATAAATTTGGTAGTAATGTCTCCACTTTTATTTCTGATGTTAGTTATTTGCATCTTCACCTGTTTTCTATTTATGTATTTCTTAAGGTTTGATAATGTTGTTGATCTTTTATATGAATTATATTTTGGTCTTTAAAATTTTTTTCTATTGCTTTTCTATTCCCTATTTTGTTTACCTCTGTTCTGATCTTCATTTTTCTGTTCTTCTGCCAACTTTGTGTTAAGTTTGCTCTTTTGTAGTTCCTAAGAGTGAAAAGTTGTGTTATTGTTTTGAGAAGTTTTATTTTTAAATTTATGCATTTGCTGCTGTAAAATTCCCACTGAGCATTGTTTTCACCATATTTTATAAGTTTTCATATTATGTGTTTTGATTTTCATTTTCTTTGGGTTATTGTCTAATTTACTTTGTGTTTTCTTCTTAAACCAATTCGTTGTTTAAGAGTGTTTTGTTTAATTTCTTCATAGTTGTAAATTTCTCAGTTTTCCTTCTGGTATTGATTTCATTGTGGCCAGAAATAATCCTTTGTGTAGTTTTGATCTCTTTACATTTATTGATACTTGTTTTGTGCCTTATAATATGTTCTAGGCTGAGCATAGTGGCTCACACGTGTAATCCCAGCACTTTGAGAGGCCAAGGTGGGAGGATCATGAGCCCAGGAATTTGAGACCTTCCTGAGCAACATAGTAAGACCTTGTCTCTACAAAGAAATCAAAAAATTCGCCAGGCGTAGTGGTGTGCACTTGTAGTCCCAGCTACTCAGGAGGCTTAGGTGATAGAATGGTTTGAGCTAGGGAGATTGAGGCTTCAGTCAGCTGTGATCATGCCACTGCACTCTAGTCTGGGCAGCAGAGCAAAAATTCTGTCTCAAAAAAAAAAATGATTGATTTTATTCTGGAGAATGTTCCATGCTCACCTGAGAAAAATGCATATTCTAATGTTGTTAGGTGGAGTGTTCTATATATGTTTACTAGGTTTAGTTTATAGTGTTTTCGATGTCCTCTATTCCCTTGTTGATCTTCTTTCTAAATGTTTGATTATTATTGAAAGTAGAACATTGAAGTCTTCAACTATTATTGTAAACTGTCTATTTTTCTTTTTAATCCTTTCAGTGTTTGCATATAATTTTGGCTCTGTTGTTTTGTGCATGCATGTTTATAATTATTATACATTCTTGATAGATTAAGCTTTTATCAAAATAAAGTGACCTTCATTTCTCATAACTTATTTTTCACTTTCTTTTTTATTTTATTTTTATTTTTATTTTAAGTTCCAGATTACACATGCAGAATGTGTAGGTTTGTTACATAGGTAAACACATGCCATCATGGTTTGCTGCACCTACAATCCATCACCTATTAAGCCCAGCATGCATTAGCTATTTTTTCTGATGCTCTCCCTTCCCCTGCCTGCCTCCCAGCAGGCTCCAGTGTGTGTTGTTCCCCTCCCTGTGTCCATGTGTTCTCATTGTTCAGCTCCCACTTATGAGTGAGAACATGTGGTGTTTGGTTTTCTGTTCCTGCGTGAGTTTGCTGAGGATAATGGCTTCCAGCTCCATCTATGTCCCTGCAAAGGACATGATCTCATTCCTTTTATGGCTGTATGGTATTCCATGGTGAATATGTACCACATTTTCTTTATCTGGTCTATCATTGATGGGCATTTGGGTTGATTCCATGTCTTTGCTATTGTGAATAGTGCCACTTCTTTTAACTTAAAGTTTGTCTTTTGTAATGTTAATATAGTTACATCATCTCACTTTTGGTTACTATTTGCATGGAATAGCTTTTCTCATTATTTTACTTCCAAATTATTCAAGTCTTTTGACTCTAACCTAAGTCTATTGCGAATATCACATTGTTGGGTTATCCATTTTGTGCATTCTACCAGAGTCTGTTGTTAAACTGATGATTAAGTCATTTACATGTAATGTGGCTGCTAACTGGAAGGACTTCTGCTATACTGTATTTGTATCCTGTATGTCATATCTTACCTGTTTGTCAATTCCTCTAATACTGACTTTTTTTCTGTTTGATTTTTTCTATTGTATTTTGATTCCCTTCTAATTTTGCTTCCTGTATATATCTTAGTTGTTTTTATAGTTTTCATGATGATCATTACAATAGGCATCCTAAAATTAGATCGACCTGGTTCGAATTTATGCCAATGTAGTTTCAATTATGTCCAAAATCCTTGTTCCTGTATGGCTTACTTCTTTATGTTGTTTTTGTCACAAATTATATCTTTACACGTTCTGTCTTCATTAACATGTATTGATAATTTTTGTTTCATTACTTTGTCTTTTAAATCTTATTGAAAACAAAAAGGAATTACTAACCTAATATTAATAATATTTGCTTTTATATTTATTTAGTCACCTTTACTGAAGTTTTTTTATTTCTTTATGTGGCTTCAAGTTATTGTCCAATGCCCTTTTATCTCAACCCAAAGGACTCACTCTCCCATTTTATTAGGGTGCATCTACTGGTAATGAATTTTCTCAGCTTTTCTTTATCTGGTAATGTCTTAATCTCTGCTTATTCTTGAAGAATAGTTTTACAAAGAATTTTTGTTTAACAGTTTTTTCTTTCAGGATTTTGAATAAGTCAGTCTACTGCCTTCTAACTCTTATGGTTTCTGATGATAAATCTCATCTTTAAATTATTGAGGATCACATTTATGTGTGATGCATTATTGCAGATCACTTCTTTCTTACTCCTCTCAGGATTCTCTCTTTCTCTTGGCTTTCAGCAGTTTGATTATAATGTATCTAGCTGTGGAGCTCTTTGAGTTTATTCTACTTGGAGCTCATTGGCCTTTTTGATGTGTAGATTCAATTGTCTATCAAATTTGGTATTTTACCATTCAGAACATATGCATGGGCAAAGACTTCATGACTGAAACACCAAAAGCAATGGCAACAAAAGCCAAAATTGACAAATGGGATCTAATTAAACTGAAGAGCTTCTGCACATCAAAATAAACTATCATCAGAGTGAACAGGCAACCTACAGGATGGGAGAAAATTTTTGCAATCTATCCATCTGACAAAGGGCTAATATCCAGAATCTACAAATAACTTAAATTTACAAGAAAAAGACAAACAATCCCATCAAAAAGTGAGCAAAGGATATGAACAGACACTTCTCAAAAGAAGACGTTTATACAGCCAACAAATATATGAAAAAAAAGCTCATCATCACTGGCCATTAGAGAAATGCAAATCAAAACAACAATGACATACCATCTCACGCCAGTTAGAATGGCGGTCATTAAAAAGTCGGGAAACAACGGATGCTGGAGAGGATGTGGAGAAATGCTTTTACACTGTTGGTGGGAGTGTAAATTAGTTCAATTATTGTGGAAGACAGTATGGCAATTCCTCAAGAATCTAGAACCAGAAATACTATTTGACCCAGCAATCCCATTACTGAGTATACACCATAAGGATTATAAATCATTCTACTATAAAGACATATATGCACATGTATGTTTATTGTGGCACTGTTCACAATAGCAAAGACTTGGAACCAACCCAAATGCCCATCAATGATGGACTGGATTCAGAAAATGTGGCACATATACACCATGGAATACTATGCAGTCATAAGAAAGGATGAGTTCATGTCCTTTGCAGGGACATGGATGAAACTGGAAACCAGCGTTCTCGGCAAACTAACACAAGAACAGAAAATCAAACACTGCATGTTATCACTCACAAGTTGGAGTTGAACAATGAGAACACATGGACACAGGGAGGGGAACATCACACACTGGGGCCTGCCATGGGGTCAGCGGCTGGGGGAGATAGCATTAGGAGAAATACCTAATATAGATGATGGGTTGATGGGTGCAGCAAACCACCATGGCACGTGTATAGCTATGTAACAAACCTGCATGTTCTGCACATGTATCCCAGAACTTAAAGTAAAATAAAATTTTTTTAAAAATTGATATTTTTTGGTTGTTATTTCTTCAAATAGTCTTTCCACCCCATTCTCCCTCTTCTCCCTTTTGGACCTCCATAATGCACACGTTGTTATGCTTGAAGATGTCCCACATGACCCTTAAGGTCTGTTTATTTTTTGTCATTCTTATTTTCTGTCAGCTCCTCAGATTTGGTAAATTGCATTATCCTGTATTCAAGTTCAGTAGTTCTTTTTCCTGCCAGTTCAAATCTGCTCTGTATCCCCTCTAGTGAAATTTTCATTCAGCTATTATACTTTTCAGTGTCAAAATTTTTATTTTAGTTCTTTTTGTAATGTGTTTTTATTGGTATTATGTTCAGAAATCCCTCTCCTGGTTTTCCGTAGCTTTTAATTTTTTAAGGTTTTTTTTTTTTAACCTCTCTGAGCATGTTTAAGCCAGTTGATGCAGCTGGACGTGGTAGCTCATGCCTGTAATCTTAGCACTTTGGGAGGCCAAGGAGGGTGGATCACTTGAGGTCAGGAGTTCAAGACCAACCTGGCCAACATGGTGAAACCCCGTCTCTACTAAAACTACAAAAATTAGCTGGGTGTGGTGGTGCATGGCTGTAGTCCCAGCTACTCAAAGATGGCTTGAACCTGGGAGGAAGAGGTTGCAGTGAGCAGAGATCATGCCACTGCACTCCAGCCTGGGTGACAGAGCAAGACTCTGTCTCAGGAAAAAAAAAAAAAAAAAAAAAAAGACTTTGTCTGAGAAGTTCAATGTCTGGACTTCTTTGTGGATAATTTTTGTTAATTTATTTTTTCCTGTAAACAAGCCATACTTTCTGGGTTTTTTTTTTTTTTTTTTTTTGTATGCCTTGTTTTTGTTGAAAACTGGACATTTTAAATGTTATGTGGTAACTCTGAAAGTAAGAGTTTTCTCTCCTCCCTAGGTTTGCTGTTGGTGGTTGTTATGAGCTGTGGACTTTCATTTGTATAGTGACTTTTCCAAACTAATTTTATAAAATCTCTAATTATTATTTTGTGTTGTTACTGAAGTCTCCATTTTATTATCTCGGTGGTCAGACAGTGACCTGACAGGGATTTTTTTTTTTTTTTAAATATCTAGACAAAAACATTAAAAAGGAGAAAAAAGAAAAAAAATGAAAAGAAAACACACACACACACACACACACACACACACACACACACTAGTCAAGTCTTCACAGATCGGTTTTGAATTTGAGAACTCCTTCAGTGCTAATATGAATGTATAGTCTGTTGTTTTGGGGTAGAGTGGGTGGAGTGTTCTGTAGATATCTATCAGATCCCCTTGATCCAGAGCTGTATGAGGTGTCTGGTGACCCCTGTTGGGAGGTCTCACCCAGTCACGATGCAGGAGATCAAGCGCTTATTTAAGGAAGCAGTCTGGCCCCTTGGCTAAGCAGGTGCGCTGTGCTGGGGGGAATCCCACTCTTCTGGATTGTCCGGATTCCTCAGAGCTAGCAGGGTTAAGTCCTCTGAACCGAAGACTGCGGCAGACCCTACCCCCAGGGGCTCTGTCCCAGGGAATCAGAGTTCTGTCTGTAAATCCCTGGCTGGAGTTGCTAAAATTCCGCAAGGAGGCCCCGCCCAATGAGGAGGGATGAATCCGGGTCCCACCTATGGAAGCAGTCTGGCCGTGATTGGCCACAGCTGCTGTGCGGCACTGTGGGGAGTTCCAAACCGCCCAGTCTCCTTGGCACCCACAGGGGATAAAGGCCTACTGGAGCCTCAGTGATGGCAACCGACCCTTCCCCTCAGGTAGTCGGTCATCTTAGGCCATCTCCAGTGTGCTGCCCCTGGGCGCAATGTGAGCGGCCACCAAGAGTCTGCACAGTTCTGTGCTTGGGACCCAAGGACCTCCTCTAGTTTTTAGATATCGTTCTGCTGCGAACCTTCTGGAAGATCTTGCACAAGTGCTTGTTTTTCTTTCTAAACTTCAGTGTTCTCATTTGTCAGATAAAGAGAGTTTGTAATTATGTGACCTCTTGCAACTTTGATTTGTGGAATTCTATTATCCAGCAGGCAAAACAGTAAACATTGGGTGTGACTACCTGTGCCAACAGGTGTGAAAAGTGGAATGGCTGGTCTCATATTGCATATGGACATAGACGTAGTTTTTTATATTGAATGCCTGGGCTAAATCAAATAAGTGCCTTGTTCTTTAGTTTGCCTATCTGATATGTGAGCAGAATCAAGGACTAAGAAATATTTTAGTTAGTTGTTTTAAAAATCACATATTTCCCCAAGTTGCCTCAGGCAAAAGTGAGGGATATGTGGAGTGGTAAGAAAAAGCATTACAATTTTATACAGACCAAAGGTAGCATAATATAAAGAGTACTTAAATTGGCATCAGAAGCGTTGGCTTTTAGTTTTTTTTTTACTCACTGCGCTGACTTATATTGTGTGTGGTCTTTTCGCCACACTTTAGTTTGTCTCATCTATAAAATGAATAAATTATATAACTCACTGTTTCTTGGCAAACTTTAAAAACTTTGACTAGTTATGGATTGTTTTCCTTGAATGTATACTACATATGGGAGGAATTTTCTATTTGTGGTAAGGTTATATTTTTCTCTTAAAATCATTATTATTATTATTATTTTATTTATTTATTTTTGGCCAGGCACACTGGCATGTGCCTGTAATCCTAGCTACTCTAGAGGCTCAGGCAGGAGGATTGTTTGAGCTCAGGAGTTTGAAACCAATCTGGGCAACATAGTAAAACCCCATCATAAAAAAAAATCATTTTTTAGGTAAGTCCATTGAAAATATATATTAAGTAAAAAAATAGTCAAAGTCATGAAGGGGAAGGTCAGATAGTCTCTGAATTCTTTTTCTGAGACTCAAGTCCTGATTTATCTCATTCTCAAAATGGAAGCAGACACATCTGAAAAGCAGCATCTGCTGAGAATTTTTGTTATTGAGTCTGGGTTTGGCAGTTGACAGCTAAAATTTCTTTAACATGCTGGAAAACATAATCAAAGGAATCTTTATTCTCTATGATTTTGGAGTGATGTTGTTCCCAATTAATTAGTGATAGAAGTGGACCTTACCATTCACAGGTGTAGAACAAGCAAGCTGGGAGTGCCCTCAGGTCATGAGAGCAGGCATTATGTAGTAAAATATCTTTCAGTGCACCAGCTATACCTTTAGTAAACTGATGCGGTATCTGGCTAACTAGGGTCGAAAGCTGACATTCCCATAATAATAATAATACCATTTAGCATGTGCTTGCCTTGTGTCAAGCAAGTTTGTAAGAACTTTATATGGAACATCTCATTGAATATTCATGACAACTCTATAAGGTAAATACTGTTATTACTACTTTTTTCAGATGAGAAACCTGATACACAGAGCAAGTAAGTACCATACCTAAGGTCACAGAGCTAATAAAGAGTTAGGCTTCAAGCATCTATCTTTTCTGTCCCATGTGAAAGCTATTCCACTACTGAATTTCCCCACTAAAGTTACCAGGTACACTTTGTTAAATATGAACTTATCTAACTGATGGTCAGCTTTTGTATAGAACAGCATTTCTTCCCTTAATTGACTTTTTATTCTGTGCTTTCTTAGTTCTTTGCCTTGGGACCCAGACTGCTACTGCTCTAAAGTTAAAGTTGGTACTATGTGGCATGAAACTGCTTTGGCAATCTGAGGTCCGTCATCTGGCCAAAGAGATCCTGGCTGTAAGCCTGAGTGCTCATGTGGAGCTGGACCTGGCAGGAACAGGTGTGATGAGGAGGATCCAGCCCGGGATTCTGAGAGAAAGCTGGATCTGTTGCAATATAGTATTTATGAGAGAGAAGGTGACCTGATGGGATCCAATGAGAAGAATTGATGAAAGAGCTAGTGAAAAATAACTACCCTCATCTCCACTCAGTTGAGAGCTAATTCTGAACTCTTCTTTTCACCCTGGTGGCCTTTTCTGCCAGAAATCAGTGTTATAGCCAG